GTTTGGTTTGGTTTGGTTTGGTTTGGTTTGGTTTGGTTTGGTTTGGTTTGGTTTGGTTTGGTTTGGTTTGGTTTGGTTTGGTTTGGTTTGGTTTGGTTTGGTTTGGTTTGGTTTGGTTTGGTTTGGTTTGGTTTGGTTTGGTTTGGTTTGGTTTGGTTTGGTTTGGTTTGGTTTGGTTTGGTTTGGTTTGGTTTGGTTTGGTTTGGTTTGGTTTGGTTTGGTTTGGTTTGGTTTGGTAGAAGTGCTTGTTCAGGTTATTCCATAATGTCAAAAACCAAAGTCATTCATAGGGTCGAACTGAGCTGTACTACATTTTAAAAACAGATGCAAAATATTTATCATACTTTATCCTTTTTCTTTAACTTTGCATCTTGCATTTGCTATAGTTTTTTTTTCCAACTCTGTGATCGGATTGGTCATTGGAAGGTAAACAAGGACATAATTCACAAGTCAGATTGCTAGATCATGTATTTCTGGGGAAATCAATGGCAGAAAGAAAAAATAAGTTAACCCCATGAAATACACACTTTACTTAGACTTCAACTTGATCTTGAGCTATACTGTAACCTGGTGCTTATTATCACATATGCTCCAAACAGCAAGAGCTCAATGTAATTTTGCAGGAAGGCCCCGTGAATCCAAACACTTGATGCTTGCTGATAATCTCTAGAAAACCCTCTTTTCTGTAGGCCTAGTACCAATTAGGTAGTGTATGCCCTTGTGATGTCCAGTGTTTATAGACTTTTGTGTGAACAGAAAGAAAGCAGACAGTTGCAATAATGGAATGTGTAGATTTTTTTTCTGATTGTAACCCTCTAAAATAGAAACAATACAACAAATCAAACCATAGTCTCTATGATTGCTAGAAAGAAAGAAAAAAGAATAGCTGCACCTCACCTCTTGACTGGTGGCATTAGGACCCTTTCTTTTGGACAGTACAGAAAGTCTTGTGAATTTTGCCAGGGGTGGGTGGACAGTCATATCACATGGACAAGTCTTGCAGCTTTTCTGTAGTTTTGCTTATTTCCTGTACCTTTTTTGTAGTGCATTTGTATATAGACAGAAATGTAAACACCTTAATTGTCAGTCAGTTATACCAATATTTATATTCTGGTAACTCCTATTAAGTAAGACTGGAATGTCTGGTGATACTTAACTGGAGTAAGAGACAAGTGTTTTGAAATGATAATTAAGCATTAGCTCTATCCGTAAAGCCTTGTGTCTTGAGTCATTCTCAATGGCCACATCTGAAAAGAGATACCATCCTTAGCTGATGGTGAGTACGTTTCTGAATTGACTTTTAACTGAAATAAAATTTGTAATGTTTCAGAAGGTTGCTTGAGATATAGGGCCTTTTTCTGATTGCTTTAAACTCCCTCGGAGTGGTTATGTATCCAAATAAATAGTTGAGTTTTGCAGATCGAGTAGGTAGAGGTAATACTATTTTAACTTTCTTTTCCTTTAGTCGCATGTGTTGTATAGGAGAATATTTTGACATGCACTGTTACTCTGTCGGGGGTGTCCACTATTTGTATGTAATCTCTATTGGATTGGAATTGCCTTCCTTCATCTCTTGCCAACGACTAGAAGACCACACATTGAAAAGTGAGAGAATTCAGTTGCTTTATTTTTGAGCACAAGTAACATTTTAGGTGTTAAAATCAGAAAATGATTTTAACTTTGATGCTTTAAGAATTTTAAAAGTTTGATATTTAAGAAAAGATTTTTTGTTGATGTGGAAATATCCTTGAAAATGTTTGTGGAAAGCTGGTGCATAGATTTTGCTAGTATGTTGGTTATGGGACCCAAATAGGTATGTTTTATTTATCTATTTATATATCTATTAGATTTATATACCACCCACCTAGATTTTATGTCAAAACGTTTAGATGCACAGTATATTTAGAAAGAGATTGTGATGCATCACAGAAGGCTTTGGGAAATACTCACTGCTTTACATTGTAGCCAAGTGTCATTTCTTCAGTGTTGTCACATGAAAAGATATACTAAAATATATATGAAATGTGAGGGGGTACTCCTGTGATATACTGTATTTAAATAAATATTTATGAAATGTGAGGGGGTTACTCCTGTGATATACTGTATTTAAAGTATTTTGGTGGGGAAATATCCTATGCATTATTTTTTTAAAAATGACTTCAGGAGAGGCTAGTGGTCAAAATTCACTGACCAAAATCCTCTTACTAATGTCCACTTGTGTAAAGGATAGAATGCAAACCTTTGTAGCAAATTGCTACTCATCACTGAGCTGGCAGTTGTTTTCCATTGGGGTACATACTCAAAGAGCAGGTCATTAATGTAAGGTTTGTCTTTTCTACTGAGACTTATGCAATGTCCTTTAATGCAAGCATAAATTGACGACAGGATTCTGGCATTTGGGAATTAAAGATAGTATTGCTAGGTGTTTGCCCATATTACCATTTTTTCTTAGGAGAGAATGCAGTAATTCTTCAGACTGTTGCTAAAAAACAAATCACCTTACCTTAGCATTCAGCCAATATTATGAGAGTAGTATGGCCCTCACAGTATTACTCCCCATGTTGCTTTAAAATAGTCAGGGAACATTTTAACAGTGGACTGTAGTTTAATGCCTTTCCCTTTCCCCTTCATGTCCCATTGTATTCTCTTCAACTTTTGTCTAATTCTTTTTGCATGCAGGCGGCAAAAAAAGACTCAGCCAGTATGGAATCTTCATCTGTCAAGATTCTTTCAAGGATCTTAAGTTTCCTCATCGGTGTCTTAATGTTCATTGCGTTCACAATATTCCACCTGGGGCCCTCACAAAAGATATTCAGGATTATGATCTGGTAAGAACATGCTTAAGAAACTATATGACACATGTACATAAACTGAGATCCTCCTGATGTTTGATATTACAGTTCCTCTCAAGCCCAGGGCAAAATGGTTAACAGTCAGGGATTATGGGAGGCATTGTCCGAAACAAATATGCTATGTGGCTCTAAACCTGCCTCTCTCTGGCATATATGACATGGCTTTGGTGACATACATGGCCATTTTTTTCTTAGGAGAGAATGTAGTAATTCTTCAGACTGTTGCTAAAAAACAAATCCTTGTACCTTAGCATTCAGCCAATATTATGAGAGTAGTATGGCCCTCACAGTATTACTCCCCATGTCGCTTTGGAGGACAGTTTAAAATAGTCAGGGAACATTTTAACAGTGGACTGTAGTTTAATGCCTTTCCCTTTCCCCTTCATGTCCCATTGTATTCTCTTCAACTTTTGTCTAATTCTTTTTGCATGCAGGCGGCAAAAAAAGACTCAGCCAGTATGGCATCTTCATCTGTCAAGATTCTTTCAAGGATCTTAAGTTTCCTCATCGGTGTCTTAATGTTCATTGCGTTCACAATATTCCACCTGGGGCCCTCACAAAAGATATTCAGGATTATGATCTGGTAAGAACATGCTTAAGAAACTATATGACACATGTACATAAACTGAGATCCTCCTGATGTTTGATATTACAGTTCCTCTCAAGCCCAGGGCAAAATGGTTAACAGTCAGGGATTATGGGAGGCATTGTCCGAAACAAATATGCTATGTGGCTCTAAACCTGCCTCTCTCTGGCATATATGACATGGCTTTGGTGACATACATGGCCATTTTTTTCTTAGGAGAGAATGTAGTAATTCTTCAGACTGTTACTAAAAAACAAATCCTTGTACCTTAGCATTCAGCATACGAAGAGTCGGGCACGACTAAACGACTAGACGAGACGACGACAATGGTATTTTAACCATGAAATAATGTTACCATCTGTGGAGGCTGGCCCACTAATGAAAGAAAGGCATCTAGCAAAAGTAATAAAAGACCACAGTTTTTGATAGCACAGAATTGCATAAAATAATATGGACATTTACTGCAGCAACATAAAAAGTCCTTTTTCAGTTTTTACATAACTATACCAAAAGAAAGGAGGAAGGAAACAAAACCAGAATTATTTACCTCCACCTGATCTTGAATTCTCTTCTGTTGGTTACCCTGATCTGGTAAGAACATGCTTAAGAAACTATACGACACATGTACATAAACTGAGATCCTCCTGAGGTTTGATATTACAGTTCCTCTCAAGACCAGGGCAAAATGGTTAGTAGTCAGGGATTATGGGAGGCATTGTCCGAAACAAATATGCCATGTGGCTCTAAACTTGCCTCTCTCTGGCATACATGACGTGGCTTTGGTGACATACATGGCCAACATCAGGGTTTTTTCTAGGGAGTCTTCTCTTCTCATGAGATGGCCAAAGTATTGGAGCCTCAGCTTCGGGATCTGTCTTTCCAGGGAGCACTCAGGGTTGATTTCTTTCAGAATTGATAGTTTTGTTCTCCTTGCAGTCCAGGGGACTCTCAAGAGCCTCCTCCAGCACCACAATTCAAAAGCATTAATTCTTCGGTCGTCAGCCTTCTTTATGGTCCAGCTCTCACTTCCATAAGTCGCTACTGGAAAAACCATAGCCTTGACTATGCGGAACTTTGTCAGCAAGGCGATGTCTCTGCGTTTTAAGATGCTGTCTAGGTTTGTCATCGCTTTCCTCCCAAGAAGCAGGTGTCTCTTAATTTTGTGGCTGCTGTCACCATCTGCAGTGATCATAGAGCCTAAGAAAGTACTGTAAAGTCTGTCCCTGCCTCCACATCTTCCCTTTCTATTTGCCAGGAGGCGATGTGTCCAGAGGCCATGATCTCTGTTTTTTTGATGTTGAGCTTCAGACTAATTTTGCGCTCTTCTCTTTCACCCTCACTAAGAGGTTCTTTAATTCCTCTCCACTTTCTGCCATCAGAATATCATCTGCATATCTGAGGTTGTTGATATTTCTTCCGGCAATCTTAATTCCGGTTTGGGATTCCTCCAGTCCTGCCTTTCGCATGATGTATTCTGCATATAAATTAAATAAGCAGGGATACAATATAGAGCCTTGTCATATTCCTTTCCCAAATTTGAACCAATCAGTTGTTCCATATCCAGTTCTAACTGTTGCTTCCTGTCCCACATATAGATTTCTCAGGAGATAGATAAGGTGGTCAGGCCCTCCCATTTCTTCAAGGACTTGCCATAGTTTGTTGTGGTCCACACAGTCAAAGGCTTTTGCATAGTCAATTAACCAGAAGTAGATGTTTTTCTGGAACGCTCTGGCTTTCTCCATCATCCAGCTCATCTTAGCAATTTGGTCTCTAGTTCCTCTGCCCCTTCGAAATCCAGCTTGTACCTCTGGGAGTTCTCAGTCGATATACTGCTGAAGCGTACCTTGTACGATTTTGAGCATAACCTTGCTAGCGTATGAAATGAGTGTAATTGTACAGTAGCTGGAACATTCTTTGGCACTACCCTTCTTTGGAATTGAGATGTAGACTGATCTTTTCCAATCCTCTGGTGACTGAATTATACCCATGTCATAGACAGGCTATCCTAATGTTAGTAGCAGAATCTTCAGAAATCCTAAATCGCTAGATTTATTCAAAAGGCACTACTAACTATGCATCCTATGCAAAGTCGGTTGTCTATATTTGATTTGTGTTTCTTTCCTCTGCACTTTTAGGTTCAAACATCAAAAAAGGGCTGTGAAGGTGAAATATGTTGAGTGTAATGACTACAGATTCTGTTACTTCTCTCGTGGACAGCCTGGACTCCAGCCATCCCTGTTGATGCTTCATGGATTTTTATTCAGTAAAGACATGTGGCTAAATGCAATCAAAGTATGGTTCTATTTATCTGGGGCATGCTGGGGGGAAAATGACTACAGTGTTTTTGCACAACACCTGGTTCTTTCAGTGGGGCTTGTGAAGGAGAACTGCATTCTTCTTATTTGTCTCTCATTCAGGTCACCTTCAGCCTGCTTTCTTTAGGTTAAGAAATATTGCCCTAGAGAATTAACTATGCAATGCAATAGAGAGCGGTCCACCTGGAAGAGGAAGTGGCCTGCTGGCTGCAACCTAGAACCATTGTCCTCCATACGGTAACATTTTGTTGAAAGTCCTCTCTTTCCTCCAGAATTGAACCTGATGGACCCATGCCTAAAAAAGGTAAAGGTAAAGGTTCCCCTTGACAATTTCTGTCCAGTCGTGTTCGACTCTAAGGGGCGGTGCTCATCCCCGTTTCCAAGCCATAGAGCCAGCGTTTTGTCTGAAGACAATCTTCCATGGTCACATGGCCAGTGCGACTTAGACTCGGAACGCTGTTACCTTCCCACCGAGGTAGTCCCTATTTATCTACTTGCATTTGCATGCTTTCGAACCGCTAGGTTGGCGGGAGCTGAGACAAGGCACGGGCGCTCACTCCGTTGCGTGGATTCGATCTTACGACTGCTTGGTCTTCTGACCATGCAGCACAGGCTTCTGCGGTTTAGCCCACAGCGCCACCACGTCCCTGATGGACCCATGCCTAGGAGTGTGCAATTGGCAGCCATGTGAAAATACATTTCACCCTCATCAGGAATCTTCAAGATAAATTCCTCCTATCAATCACCTCTGTTGAAACTGAAACTGTCCCACTTTGGGCACATCATGAGAAGACAGGATTATCTGGAAAAGAAAATGCTGGGAATGATGGATGGCAGCAGGAAAAGAGGAAGCCCAAATAGGAGATGGATTGGACTCCCTAAAGGAAGCTATAACCTTGAGCTTGCAAGAGCTGAGTAGGGCAGTTGAAGACAGATCACTCGTTCATAGGGTCACCATTATCCCAGACCACTTGACATGTAATAATGAAGTGGTTGAAAGGAACAATTCATTTACAAAACCGGGACACATTAATAAAGCCTACTAAACTGGTGGATAGGCAGCATTCAGTTGAATTTCTATCTTTAACCTTTTCTTGAAGTCTGTTTCAACATATTTAAACTACCCTTCCTCCTTCTCAAAAACTACTTATCCTATCTTAACTCCACATTCTCCCTCTCCGCCATTCTTACTCTCACTCAGATTGACTATACAGTAGTTGTCTCACCTCCTCCTTAACTGTCCACAGCATTCCAGAAGCTGTAATAGGCTGAGCCAAAGAGTCAGTAATTGAACCTGATGGACCCATGCCTAGGAGTGTGCAATTGGCAGCCATGTGAAAATACATTTCACCCTCATCAGGAATCTTCAAGATAAATTCCTCCTATCGATCACCTGTGAATGACATTTTAATTTCCTAATTTTCTAATATTTCAATATTTCCATTCAGTTTGGCTGTTTTACTATCTATCTGTCTATCTGTCTATCTGTCTATCTGTCTATCTGTCTATCTCTCTCTCTCTCTCTCTCTCTCTCTCTCTCTCTCTATCCATCCATCCATCCATCCATCCATCCATCCATCCATCCATCCATGAAATGAAAGCTGGTATAATTCAGGGGCCACCACCTGAAAAGGGTAAGCAAAGATTCCCCAAAAATGTGCAGTCCTGAGGTTGCACGCCAGCCATCTGTGCAGCCTTGGCCAACCTAAGTCCTAGAGCGCCACCAGAAGAAAGGACTGGTAAACAACTTCTAAGTAGTTTATAACTACTGTAGTCAGATTGTGAAACATTCTTTGTTTACTATGCTTCTCTGTTGCCTTTTTTCTATTATCAAGGGAGATGAGCTGGCGCCGGTAATAGTGTTCCAGTACATTAAGTTTTCTACCTGTTGGTTAACCACCCATCTGATACAGTCTGCGAACTACTTCCATTATTGAAGAGATCTATCCATTTTTGTCCTGATTTCCTAGGTTTATGTCTGATGTCATGTTTTCACAGCTGTTTCCTAAGGACCTCCACTTGGTTTGTGTCGACATGCCTGGTCATGGTGAAACTACTTGCTTGGAAGAAGAAAATTACGCAGCAGCTGCACAGGCTGAAAAGATACACCAGGTAAGGTGGGATGCATCGCAACTGGAAGGCTTCCGGTTTTGTTTCTAGTAATATCAGCTCTCTTTTTGTTAGCCAGATGTATTCACAGATCGAGAGAACTGTGGCCGATGTGTATGAATCCGTAAAATAAGTTAATCACACATAGCATTCATGTACTGTAGCATGATGTGCTAAAGTACATTATATCCCTGTAATGTACAAGTATCATTTTGTTTGTTTTTTTAAGAAAATTGTATTATTTGAAAAGATCCAGCCTGGGAGGGCTGGATCTACATGTTCTCTCTCACTCGAAGCTCTCTTGCTTTTCCCAGTTCCCCAATCCATTCCAAATGCAGAAGACAGGAAGAAAACAAGGCCAGACAAGTTGGATGGTTGGTCTGGGTTCCTGCCCACATGCGCACACATTCCATCTCTTCTTCTTCCCCCACCCCTGCTCAGCTACTAAAATTAATAGGAATTAAATTAAATGTAAAGATCCTGGGCTGTATCTTTGCACCCTGCCCAGTCGGCACACTTTTTGGCAGTGATCAGACTGCTTGAACCAATGCAAATGGATCCATTTTTCAAAAAAAGTGGACACTCCAGCGGCGGAGGGAAAAACTACAGATTTGGGAGGGAAAACTCCTGGCTGATTCCTTTTTATTATTATTATGTGGTCAATGGGGAAAAAAAATGCAAATCAGCACATCCCAATCCTAGAGTATTTCTTGCATTTTTGGCCAATGTGGCCACAGTATCGCACAATTAGTTCATCTGTACTAACACAATGGCACGAGAAACCTTTACAAGGTGAAACAGGAAGAGTTGCAACTGTAGAATGCCAAACAAGATGAGGAATCTCCAAGGTACTCTTGAGTAGGCTGATGTATGCAGCTGAAGTTGGTGCAAAACTGCAGAGGGAGGGAGGGAGGGAGGGAGGGAGGAAGGAAGGAAGGAAGGAAGGAAGGAAGGAAGGAAGGAAGGAAGGAAGGAAGTCTCCCCATCTTCCTCTGTCCTTTCTCAACCAACCATGGCTAAGCATGTAATAGCTCTTGGGGCAAACTATGAAACATCCCATAGGAGGCATCTCCAGCAAGGAGTTGTTCAGTGGCCCTTTGGCTGCCATCACTACTGCTTTGTCTGGGGCTTCCTAGACCACGTAGAAGAGCCTGTCTTGGCCTGGTGTTGTCCCTCACTTCTCCTAAGCATTTTACAAGGCTCACAAACTTTTACAGTTCACTCAGGCATTTCTTGGAAAATGGTCTCCTATATAATGCACAGTAAACCATTATTCATTCATTTAATTTATATGCCGCCTGTCTCTCAGTGAAGGGTGGCTCACAATCAATTAAAACAACATAACCAAACAGACACACAAAACCCACAATGGAGTATGGTATTTAAAAATAATTAAACAAATTACAATGACCAGAATCCTGTTAGTGTTCATGTCAGATATCCATAACTATAACTTGGTGTGAGTAATTAATGAAGGACCAGAGCCCAACTTGATGTTGCAGTAGGTCACATGACCCAAACCACAGCTGGCATCTTATCAGTTAGCCACAATGAGCCACAGCAGCTTAGATAAAGGTTATGCAAATACCTAGAGGGATTTGGACGACTTTCAAAAATTGCCATATTTTCTTTGTTCCTGCTTATTGTTTCAGTTTGTTGAGTGTATTGGTCTGAACAGACAGCCTTTCCATCTGGTTGGCATCTCCATGGGCGGAATGGTTGCTGGCCTTTATGCTGCCCTTTATCCATCTGATGTCTGCTGTTTGTCCCTCCTTTGCCCAGCCGGTGAGTTTCTAAATGCAGTTATTTCACAGAAAGTCCTAAGGTTGCTTAATTCAGAATGAATTAAGAGTGCCTTATCCAGTCTCTAGGTCATGAGAAAATAACTAAGTACTATGTCTGGAATGAGAAGGTAGGATGGTGATTACATCAAGCTGCTCTTTTATAGCTCTCTTCAAGATTTAAATTAAAGGGTGGCTGACAATCTAACTACAAAGCCAATGACCTGACCTGAGCAGACTCCTTGATAGATGTGGCCACTCTCCTTACCCATCCTTATCTCTAGATTTCCCTATCTTTGTGAGGTTCTTCCACACGGGACATCTTCTAGTCTTACCAGTTAGAAAATGCAGCTGTTCCAACTTTCCCATCTTAACAGGATGCTTATGGGTAAGAAAAAAAAGACAGGAAAAGTGGTGAGGAAACATTGGAAGGCTATAGTGGAAAGACTTCAGCCTAAATTCAGTTGTTAATCCAGCGACAGATTAGGCACATTAAATGAATGGAAACTTCCCGAATCAATACCTATCTTAATTCCATTCATTCAATATGTGTTGGAATATCAAACAGATTTCGGCCAATTATGCCTTGACTTCACCAACATTCCATAGGCAAAGGAGGGTAGTGACATCTAGCCATGCTCTTGGCTCTCTTCTTTCACCACCTTGACACCATCATCACAAGAAATGTATTTGGGGAGCCGATTGGAATCTTCAGTGTTGGGGCTGGTTCGCATCAATGTTCTTTTCCAGTTGTGTCTTCTTTTGTATCTCTTAGGCCTGAGGTTTCCAGCAGGGAATGGTCCAATGAAGCAGTTGAAGAAGCGGGCACACTCTACTAAGCCACATTCATTTCTGAAGCTTGGCTTCTACAATCCTAGCCTAACAAATGTCCAGGTAAAGCAAAGTTCTCTGGCTCAATATTTATTGAAAAAATCTCAGCCCAGCTATACAATTTTGCAAGCCTCACTCTTTTGCACTCCAGGTATCTCTACTGAACTCCTTTGCTAATGGAGCAAGAAAGGAAGGTTTAGAAGTATCTGCACTACAAATTTATAGCAGTTTGATATCACTTTAATTGTCATGGACCTGAGTCTATGGGATCCTGTGATTTGTAGCATGGTGACATACGTAGAAGTCTCTTCGAGAGAGCTCTAGTGTTAAGGTTCAGCAGACTCTAGTAGAGATCTCTTATCAATGAAATGCTAAGTATCCCATAGATGCCATCAATAAACTTCAGAAGGGAAGGAGGCCAGTTTTACCTGGTGAGTGTTGCCCAAGTCCAGACAGACTGAAGTATCAAGTTCCTAAATCTCAACAAACTGGGCTAAATAGCTCAGTGAGATGGAGCACCTGGCTGTGGAACCAGAACTCAATCATTCAATTCCCTGCCTTGTAGGAATGAAGCCAGCCTATGTGGTCTTGGGCAAGCTGCATAGTCTAAGAGCAGCCCCAAGAGGAGATGAGTAAGTCACTTCCAAGTATTCCATACACAAAAAATCCTGGAAAGGGTCATTATGAGCTGGAATCATCTTAACAGAACATAGGCAATTATATGATCTCAACAAGTAGGATTCCCCCTTTTCTTCCTGTTCTCTCGCTACTGGTAAAATGTTGGAAATCGATCTCTGCAATTAATGTGAATAATAGCAAACAAGGGAAGAACTGAAAGTTAAAATTTTGATGTTCATTCACCTTTCTCCTTATGAAACTGACTCAGTGGCCATGAGGGCTTCGGGATTCTGAAAACTGTAATACAAAAGGATAACTTGTCTATGCTTCACCTTCCACCTATTGCTTCCAGAAAGCAATACAGTGGTGCCTCGCTTAACGATTGCCTCGTTTAGCGATGAATTCGCATAACGATGTGTTTTTTTAGAAAATAATATGCACCGTATAACGATGTTTCCTATGGGCGATTTTCACTTAGAGAAGTTTGGGACCATACTTCGCATAACGAAT